TACATGTGGGAGAAAAATCTCACTGCTGCCTCACAAGTTTGTTTTCCAGTTTCAAGTTAAAAGTAATAAAAGAGAACAGATTTCTACCCCTTAGCCTCTAATGAGTCAATATTTCGTTAATTGTCGTATGTCTCCTGTTCTCCTCTGCCTCGGGGAATTCCAGGCTAGAATTTGTAAATTTACCATTAATATAATTTCTGAGAAGAAAATATTAATTAGTTTTAAAATGCAACTTGTGAGGGCATAAACAACAAAGAGAGTTTATGGTTGAAGGGCTTTGGGGAGATTTGATTCTCTCTTCCATTCCACCTGTTTGTTTTTCCAGTCTAAATGTTTCAGGAAAGCAAGCTTAGATTTGCCTGTTTTCTTCTTTTGGAAAGATTGTTAGCATTCACAGAATCACAGAATCACAGAATCCTAAGGGTTGGAAGGGACCTCAAAAGATCATCTAGTCCAACCCTCCTGCAAGAGCAGGGTAACCTAGAGTACATCACACAGGAACTTGTCCAGGCGGCCCTTGAATATCTCCAATGTAGGAGACTCCACAACCCCCCTGGGCAACCTGTTTCAGTGATCTGTCACTCTCACAGTAAAGAAATTTTTCCTGATGTTCACATGGAACCTCCTATGGTCCAGTTTACACGCACTGCCCCTTGTCCTATCACTGGACATCACTGAAAAAAAACCTAGCTCCATCATCCTGACACTCACCCTTTACATATTTGTAAACATTGATGAGGTCACCCCTCAGTCTCCTCTTCTCCAAGCTAAAGAGTCCCAGCTCCCTCAGCCTCTCCTCATAAGAGAGATGTTCCATTCCCTTACTCATCTTTGTAGCTCTGCGCTGGACTCTTTCAAGCAATTCCCTGTCCTTCTTGAGCTGTGGGGCCCAGAACTGGACACAATATTCCAGATGCGGCCTCACCAAGTGTCGTTACCAGTCAGGTAACTCGTTAACTCACACCCCCCCCCCTTCTTTCCTTCCCCCTACTCCTGGAGGGACGGAGAGGAGAACCGAAAAGAATGCAAGTCCCACGGGTTGAGATAAGAAAAGTTTAGTAACTAAGGTATAACACAGATCACTACTGCTACCACCAATGATAATAATGATAAAGGAAATAACAAGGGAAGAGAATACAACACCTCAGCACCAGCTGACTGATAACTCCCCCCCCCAGCCCGACCAAGCTCCGACCGATACCTCCTCCAACCCTGCAGTCCACCAGCCCTTCCGGCTAACTCCCAGTTACATCCTGGGCATGTCGTGCTGTGGTATGGAATACCTCTTTGGTCAGTTTGGGTCAGGTGTCCTGTCTCTGCTTCCTCCCTGCTTCCCTTCCTCCCTGGCAGAGCATGAGGCTCACAAAGTCCTTGGCCAAACCAAAACATCACTATCAGTTCTGTACCCAGGCCAGAAGTCGAAACACTGCACTGCACCAGCTACCAAGAAGGAGGAACATGACTGCTACTGCTGAACCCAGGACACCAAGGCAGAGTAGAGGGGGAGGAGAACCTCTCTTGACCTACTAACCACACTCTTTCTAATGCACCCTAGGATGCCATTGGCCTTCTTGGCCACAAGGGCACATTGTTGGCTTATGGTCATCGTCCTATCCACCAGGACCCCCAGGTGCCTTTCCCCTTCACTACTGTCCAGCAGGTCAGCCCCCAGCCTGTACTGGTAGCATTCTGACAAAGTCTTCAGATAATTTGTGAATGCTTCCTGTTGGAAAAAAGAAAAAGTTTTGAAACTCAAAAACATCACAAAAATAAAAAAAAATGTCTAGTATGGTTCTGTTCTAGATAGCTATTCATGGTCAAATCTCTAGGACTATTGAATTAAATTTGTCTGTCCTTAAGAAGTTTTATATGTATGAATATATATTATTATATTGATAAACAATCAGTTTGATCAAGTACTGTTCATACTTGGTGAATATGTGTTCGCTTTTCTAGAACAGGATAGTATAGAACAGAACACTTCAAATTGAAGGGACTTACCATGTTCACTCAGTCCAACTATCTGACCACTTCAGGACTGACTGTCGTGGTTTAAGTCCAGCCAGTAACTCAGAACCACACAGCCATTGGCTCACCTTCCCATTTCCACTGGCTCCGGGTGTGATGGGGTGGAGAATCAAAAGAATGTAAACCCCATGGGTTGAGAAAAGAACAGTGCAGTAACTAAAGTATAATATAAAACTAATAATAATGATGAGGGGAATACCAAGGGGAGGGAATGTAAAACTAAAAGGGGAAAGGAAAAAGACTCACAATAAATACAAGTGATGTGCAATACAATTGCTCACCACCTGCTGACCCAAACCGAGTAGTGATCTGGGCCTTCCGGGTAACTCCCCCCAGTTTATATATTGGGCATGATGTGCTGTGGTATGGAATACCCCTTTGGCTAGTTTGGGCCAGCTGTCCTGTCTCTGCTTCCTTCCAGCTTCTTGTGCCCCTCCTCACTGGCGGAGCATGAGACCCAAAAGTCCTTGATCAGAGTAAGCACCTCTTAGCAACAACTAAAATATCGGTGTGTTATCAGCATTGTTCTCAGACTAAAGCCAAAAGACAGCACTGCCCCAGCTACTAGGAAGGAGAAAAATAACTGTAGCAGCAAAATCCTGACAGTGACCAAAACTTAAAGCATGTTATCAAGGACATTGTTCAAATTCCTCTTAAACACACACAGGCTTGAGGCATTGACCACCTCTCTAGAAAGCCTGTTCCAGGGTTTGACCACCCGCTTGGGAAAGAGATGCTTCCTAATGTCTAGTCTAAACTTCCGCTGGTGCACTTCTGGATCATTCCCATGTCATATTGCTGGAAACAAAGGAGGAGTGTATCCAGCAATACCTCTTTCTTCACTTCTTCTCCTCAGGAAGTTGCAGAACACCGCTCAGCCTCCTTTATCTTGAAACTAGACAAGTCCAAAGTCCTTAGCTGTTCCTCACAGGACATGCTTTCCAGCCCTTTCACCATTAATAACCATACGAAAGAGGAATAGGTTGTAATCTGAAGGTTGTACTAAGCTTTTCAGTTTTGTGGTGACATCCCTGATTTGGGGCCTCAGGAAGGCAGAAAACATCCCTGAAAAGAGGGTCTGGTCTTTAGATGGGTTCTTCCTCACACAGGAGGGAATCACAGATAGAATCATAGAATCATAGAATAGTTAGGGTTGGAAAGGACCTTAAGATCATCTAGTTCCAACCCCCCTGCCATGGGCAGGGACACCTCACACTAAACCATGTCACCTGAGGCTCTGTCCAACCTGGACCTGAACACCACCAGCGATGGAGCATTCATAACTTCCCTGGGCATCCCATTCCAGTGCCTCACTACCCTTACAGTAAAGAACTTCTTCCTTAGATCCAATCTAAACTTCCTCTAAGTTTTAACCATTACCCCTTGTCCTGTCACTACAGTTCCTAATGAAGAGTCCCTCCCCAGCATCCTTACAGGACCCTTTCAGATACCAGAAGGTAGCTATGAGGTCTTCACACAGCCTTCTCTTCTCCAGGCTGAGCAGCCCCGACTTTCTAGCCTGTCTTCATACGGGAGGTGCTCCAGTCCCCTGATCATCCTCATGGCCCTCCTCTGGGCTTGTTCCAACGGTTCCATGTCCTTTTTATGAAATGGCCATAGCTGGTTGTTGTTTCTTTTTGGCAATGGTCTTAATGAGGTTTTGTTGCAAGGGGTTGGTCTTTCTGATCCACATAAGTCTGCTTGCGTAGGTTCCCCTTCTATTTCATTATGTGCTGCTTCTACTCTACCCAGGGCCTCATACCTATTTTGTAAGAGTGTCTTAGAGGATAAGGAAGGGCTTCTCTTATGTGTTTGTACTGTAATCGTCTTCCACCCTTCTTTATCCCTTTTAACACTGCTTTCATCCTGGCACAAAACAGATCCTGTACCTGCCTCCATAGTGGCCTCTCAAAATGCAGGTCCATTGACCAGTCTCCTTTTCACACTCTCAAATACTCCTCAGTCTGCCCACCTCCTCTTACAGCTTGGACAGCAAGCAGAACAGTTCATCTGCGTGTTCACAACTCCCACAGGCTTGCATGCAATCACTTTCCATCTCCAAGGATATCCCTTTCCACATCCCACAGCTGGAAACCTGGATTTTCCTCTGGTTGGACAGGAGCTCTGTCTGTATAACAGCATTGGTTCCACCAAGTGCTAGAAGCTGAGGAGAAGCAGAGGATGCTGCTTTTTACTGGATGGTCAGCATGCTGCTGTGCACTTGCCTGCTGTCACGCACCTGCCTGCTGCAATGCTGCCACTGCTTGACCTTCTTCTGCTTGCATAGCTTTCTTGAGGACCTGTTCTATAATTTTCCCAGTAACTCTAGTGCAATTAATTGGACTATAGTTTTCTGAATCTTTTTTACCTCTTTTTTGTAGACGGATGTAGTATCTGTAACTTTTTTAGTCAGTTGGGACTTTTTTCATTTATGACCTTTCAAAGGTGATAGCAGTTTAAATTTGAGGGACTTTTTAATTAACCTTCTGTTTTAAATATAGTTTGTCATAATTTTGAAGACTATGGTACATAATTAGATGGAGCTATTTGTAAAAAAATGAATTGTATTGTAATAAAAATAAATGTGACTCTTCATTATTTGAATGCCTACGTGCAGTACTACAAATACACTTCTATTTTCTACTGCTAGATATTCTGATTTTACTTTCTCCCTTTAGCATTTATAAATGCGTACCTTGTATGAGTAAATGTTCTATTTAACAGTTACAAATTAATAGAATTTTTATAAGAATTTGAATAGCAAAATAAAATATTATTTAGAGCATTTATTTATAGACATGTTGTATAACACATTCAAGGAGAAATTCAAAGAATGTAATAGTTTATGATTTCATCCTTTATATGAGTGTTCTGATGAACCCTTAATGTGACAGGCAAAGATAATGTAATGAATGTCCTACTGCAATTGGAAGACTGTGGAAAAAAGTAACTGACACAATATTTTATTTCAGGTGGGAGTGAAAAGCAACTGCTTTCCTTGCCCTTTACAACCTAGTTAAGAATTTGACTGACAGAATGTTGGCACCAGCTGTGGAAGAGCTGATCAGCCTCAACTCCAAGTAAGTGAAGTCTTACTCATTCAGAGGTTCTTTTCAGACTAAATTTACAAAGCCTGCTGATTTCTAACAACAAAAAATAATTAAAAATGTGGTTTCTGAGACAGTTTAGAGCACTTTGGTTTCCCATGTTGTGAAATTCAATTTCTCGTTTAAACACATCTTTAAATCAGTACGTAACTTCAGTTCTTTATACTGTTATTTTGCAGACTTTATGACATTCATTCTGATTCCTCTTCCTTTCTAGACAATTGGAAGCATTCGCTTAAAGTAATGGAAAATTTTTATAAAACACAAATATAAAATATGAACATACCTGCATGTACTCAGTGATCAAGAAAATATAGTTAAATAGTAATACATATACTCTAAAAGACAAATTGGTGGGGAAAAAAAAAGTAAGGAACAATATTTGGGTGCTCATTAAAGGCATCTTCCTTCCTATTGCATTTCTCATGGAAGAAAAATGTAAGGTCTTGCATGGGGGTAAACACAGTCTAAGACTGCATCACAGGCTGGAATCTACCCAGCTGGGAAACAGCTCTGTGGAAAGGGACTTAGGGTCCCAGCTCAATGTAAGTAAGTGTACAGTGTGCTGCTGTGACAAAGAAAGGCAACAGGATGCTGAGTTGCATCAACAAGGGTTTCACCAGTGGAGATAAAGATGTCATTATTCCACTCCACTCAGCACTTGTCAGGCGACACCCAGAATTCTGTTTAGTTTTGGTCCCTACTCTGCAAAAAAAATATGTGAACAGCTGGAGAGAGTCCAGAGAGGGTCCACAAAGATAATCAAAGGACTGGAAACCCTGCTATGTGAGGAAAGGATGAGACACCTGTGTTTGTTCAGCCATGAGAAAAGAAGGCTCAGGGGAGACCTTATCACCATGTTAGAGTATTTAAAGGGTGGCAACAAAGAAGATGGAGTCTCCCATTTTTAGAAGGAGTTCCATGGAGAAGATGAGAAGTACTGGGTACAAATTATTCCTGGGGAGTTTCTGATTGAGCACAAGAGGAAAATTTTTCAGAATGAGAGCAATCAGCCGTTGGAGTAATCCCCACAGGGGAGTGGTGGGCTCTCCAACATAGGGTACTTTTAAGATTTAGCTGGACAGGATGCTAGGACATCTAGTCTAGGTCATTCTGTGATTCTATGATTTTATGGTTTGCCAAGAAAGGTTGGACAAGATGATCCTTGATATTCCTTCCAAGCTAGTATGTTATTATTATTCTGTTACTAAAACATCAGAAACCATTGTGGATGAAGGACAGAGTCAGAAGCCTTGGTTATTCAAAGATGGTCTCTGAGGGAGTCCCACAAGTTATCCTTTGTGTGCTAGGAGCTAATGTGACAGCAGCACTAAAGGCACAAAGCACAAAAGTTACACACACACATAAAAAAAAAATAAATCTACAGATAACTTCTTAGAGGAAATATGTAGAAAGCACCAGCTGCATTAAAGCACACTTCTCATCCTGGGTGTCTTAGATTTTTATTATTCATACACTCTAGTATCTCAGTTCAACTTTGGATATTTTATTTCCCTGGTATTTCATTTTAAATGTCAAAAAATTTTTCATTTCTGTAGCTAGTAGGACATCTTGGAGAAGACAAAGGCAGGATGGTTTTCAGTTTGTCAGATTTGCTTTTTCCTCACATTATAGCAGAGTCTATTTTCTTCTATGAACAACCACTAAGAAACCTGGAGGATACTAGCCTGGCAAAGGGAGAAAAGGGAGAAAGGGAGAAAGAGAAGAAATAAAAAAGAGAGGTGCTGAGAGTGGATTATCAATAGAAGATGTTCCTATATCAGAGAGACAGGCAAGATATGATATCGTAAAAAAAAAAAAATAGATTGAATCTCTGAAAACATGCTAACATCACCTCAAAATAAACTATTAGCTCACATTATCACAGTACTTGACAGTTTGAAAAATCACTAAAAATGTTTCTTTTAAGAGCTACTTGCATAGAGACAGTCTGATGGAGGAGCCAGATTTCTCTCAGTGGCTGTGTTAGTCTTGGATCACCAATTGCTTTACTGATAATTAGAAATGCTGATAAAGTTGAGTCACAAACTCATACGAAGATCAAAGAAGCTGTATCTAAGCTAGTCGCATACAAGCAGTTTCAAGCTTCTTCTCAACAGTGCTGAGCACTGTTTGGTACAATGTGCTAAGCTAATGAAATAACCCAGTAATGTCTGAAGAAGGAAGAATCTTTTGCCAGCAAGTTAAATGAGAGAGTCAGCATCAGTGGACATATTCAAAATGTTTAGTTGATTTACACTTTTTTAGCAGTTTTCAAACTGAGAAACGATTTTTCATCCAAGAGGAGTATTTATGTGGCATATCAGACAACCAGTATTCCTGAAGTAGGAAAAGATTATATGAAGTTATCAAAGTTAATAAACATAGGGATGAAAAAAGCCAGCATTATGATGTGGCATGTGAATGGTGTGCACATACTTTTGAGGTTGTAGTCAATTATAGTAGTTTTATTTTACTTATTTCTTAATTCAAAGTGAAATTATATATTTAGAAATATCACAATATTTCTGTATTTAGTAATATCACAATGTAAGATGGGTAAGTAGCATGTTATCTTTTTAACAGCTGCTATTAAGTGTAGCACAGATGTTGCTCTAGATCATAGACGCAATATTTAGTAAGTATTGGAAAATCCACTTCCATGCAAATCATGCCTAAACAAAATTACAACCTTAGACTGTAGACAGGAAAAGGTGCATATTCCTGATCACCCTGACTTCAGAAAGACCTTTGATGCAGCTTTCATACTTCCTTTGTTGCTAGGTTGGTGATACATGAACCAGGTAAGCAGTCAACATTGCAGGTTGAAAATGGCATGGATTGCTGGTCTTACTGTGTTGTGGTCCATAATACAAAGCCCATCTAGTGACCAGAAAGCAGTAATTCCTTTCAGTTATCAATACAAGAAGGAGGATTAGCCAGGTTAATAAATGGTCAAAAGGGTGGTGTCATAGTCAGGGGTTTGGGTGTCTTGAACACGGGACCCAAGTTTGTAGGCCAGGGATGTGGCAGAGAGGCTGCCTGCCCTAGTAAGTCCCATGGACTATTACCCACTCCTGGTGATACATGTGGGTGCTAGGGATATAGATAGTAGTAGCCTGGGGAACATAAAGAAGGACTACAGAGCCCTGGAGGAGGTTGTCAGGGGCTCTGGAGCTCAAACAGTCTTTTCATCAATTCTTCAGGATAAGGGGAGGACCTAAAAAAAGGTAGGAGGATTAGCCAGGTTAATAAATGGTTAAAAGGGTGGTGTCATAGTCAGGGGTTTGGGTGTCTTGAACATGGGACCCAAGCTTGTAGGCCAGGTCTAGTGGGGGCTGGTGGAGCTGGTCTGATAAAGAAGGGAAAGAGCAGTTTTGGTAGGTGGCTTGCCAGACTGGTCACGGAGGCTTTAAACTAGATGTGTTGGGGGAGGGGGGCATCATTCCATTCTAACACACTCAGTCAGTTGACAGCACCTATCATAAATGCTTGGAGCAATGCAGAGATATCCCAGCCGCTCCAGCCAATGAGCCAGCTTCAGTTGGAGCTCGGCTCAGATGCCTCTCTACAAATGCCCGTAGCATGGGGAACAAACAAGAGGAATCAGAGATGTGTGCACGTCTACGGGGGTATGATATAATAGGCATCACACAAACATGGTGGGATGGCTCCTATGACTGGAGTGTTGGAATGGAAGGTTACAGGCTTTAGGAAAGACAGGCCTGGCAGGCGGGGAGGGGGGGTTGCCCTTTATGTTAGGGATAGGCTGGAGAGTATGGAACTCTGCCTGGGGACAGGTGAGCAGTCCACAGAGAGTTTGTGGGTCAGGGTTAATGGGAATACAGCTATGGGAGACATTACTGTGGGGATCATGGCAGTCAGGTGAAGTTACTGATGACTGGAAAATGGGAAATATAACCCCCATTTTCAAGAAGGGGAAAATGGATGACCCGGGGAGTTACAGACCAGTCAGTCTCACCTCTGTGCCTGGCAAAATCTTGGAGCAGATTCTCCTGGAAGGCATTCTAAGGCACATGAAAATCAACAAAGTGCTTGGTGACAGCCAGCATGGCTTCACTAAGGGGAAATCCTGCCTGACCAATTTGGTGGCCTTCTATGATGGGGCTACAGAACTGATGGACAGGGGTAGAGCAGTTGATCTCATCTACCTGGACTTGTGCAAAGCGTTCGACACTGTCGCACACGACATCCTTGTCTCTAAATAGGGGAGACATCAATTTGATGGATGGGCCACTCGGTGGATAAAGAACTGGGTGGATGGCCGCACGCAAAGGATTGGGCTCAATGGCTCAATGTCTGGCTGGAGACCAGTAACAACTGGTGTCCCTCAGGGATCGGTGTTGGGACTGGTCTTGTTTAACATCTTCATTGCTGACATGGACAGTGGGATTGAGTGCGCCTTCAGGAAGTATGCCAATGACACCAAGCTGTGTGGTTCGGTTGATACACTGGAGGGAAGGAATGCCATCCAGAGGGACCTCGACACGCTTGTGAGGTGGGCTGATGCCAACCTCATGGAGTTTAACCATGCCAAGTGCAAGGTCCTACACCTGGGTCAGAGCAATCCCACGCACAGCTACAGGTTGGGCAGAGAACAGATTCAGAGCAACCCTGCGAGAAGGACTTGGGGGTGTTGGTTGATGAGAAAATGAACATGGGTCGGCAGTGTGCGCTTGCAGCCCAGAAAGCCAAATGTATCCTGGGCTGCATCAAAAGGAGTGTGACCAGCAGGTCGAAGGAGGTGATCCTGCCCCTTTATTCTCTCTTGTGAGACCTCACCTGGAGTACTGTGTGCAGTTCTGGTGTCCTCAACATAAAAAGGACACGGAACTGTTGGAACAAGTCCAGAGAAGGGCCACGAGGATGATAAGAGAACTGAAGCACCTCCCGTATGAAGACAGGCTGAGGAAGTTGGGGCTGTTCAGCCTGGAGAAGAGAAGGCTGCATGG